CAAAAAACATTCATTCATCGAAATGATCTTTACTAATAAAAATAAAAACATTTATTTCTTTGATCATACGACTTGTCACTTAACATGTCATCGTTGTTCGCATAATAAAATTTCAATAAAAAAAAAAGAATGACAATTGATGTTCTGATTTATTTCCAATGGGCTTAAGTATTTAGCAACTAATTTTAAAAAACTCAGTTTTTTTAAGGGAAAGATCAACGAAGTCATTGTATTAGTCGGGTGAAATTTTCACAACCCGAAATGCCTCGTTATTGTCAATGACGGTAACATTGATTATTTTGCATCGTTGTTGTCGCCAACAAATCATAAAACTTTAAATTGTTTTTTTTACGGACGTCGTGGAATCTCTACTATTTTATTGCCTTTTATTAAAAAAAAACAGATAAAAAACTTCAGAAACCTAAAGTAATGAACCTTTTCGTTCGGCCATTTCGTCTTCTGAGTGATTTGCATGTAAAAATCAAACAATTTTGGTTAAATTGCTATATCCAATAATCTATTGTAGTACGATCTATTTTATTAGCTATTAAACGTGGGATTTTTAAGCTGTTTTTTTTTCGTTTTTTCTTTATAATGATAATCAATGTTACTGCCAGTAAGAATAATGGAACATTTTAGTGTCATAAAAATATCATCAAACTAACTCGAAAGATTTTTCAGTACTGTTATTAAGAGAATTTTACAGTGTATCTTTCAATAAAAAAATCAAGATTGTACAATTTATCTGTAGTGAAATACTTGCTAAATAGAAAATATTGCAATCTTTATTCCACACTCAATATTTTATGTAAATCTTTCTCAATCATGTGATATCACAAGATACAAGAAGATCATCATTACTATTAACAAATTCCGACAAAAAGGTTCTATCTGTTAATGATCTTTAGTTTGTTTCTAACTAATACTTATTGATGAATTGAAAAAATATTTGTGCAACTTGTGTAATAGAGAATAACATTAGAATATAGCATAAAGAAAAAAAAATCAAGTCTTTATGGAAAGATAAAATATGCCTAGTTGAAGAACGGACAAGATTTTGTCGTTTTTTAGACTTGATGCTTTACATGAACTCGAATTTTTCATTCAATTAGAGTTTTTCTATAAATAACAATAACAAAACTTGATTTTCATTTCCATTCAATTGTTTTCTTCCCGAAATCCATGGCTATACTTGTTATTGATCTTTTGATAGGAGATACAACAAAAAGAAATCGTTTTCGAATTTCAATCACTGATTGTTACATTAAAATATGTTTTTTTCCATTCAAATTTAGAGTCTTGCATTTTGCATGTAATGACCATTATTGGTATTCATTATTATCTGAGTCTGTTCTACCAATCGTTTGTGGATACATCGAAGACTATAGTCACGAACTTCTTTATTATAGTAAAAAAATATAATCACATCCACAACCTCGAATCACAAAACTAAATCTTTATAGCTACGTCGAAAATTTGTGAAGTTTTGATTTGATAACTATTATTCATTTGTTTTGGTTTTTATGTTTGAAAACAATCAAAGATCTGCTGTGACTTTCAAAGCATGAGGATTATTACTCATTTTCAAACACAAATGAAAAAAATAAGACCTACATCTACATATGTGAATGTTTTGTACTTAAGTACGTCATCTAAAAAGAACAAGTTCGAAGCATAAATCGCTTAATCTTGTATCAATTTATTAAACTTCCTCGATTGTTGAAAGATATAGTAAAACAAATTCACCTTAACAAAACGAAAAACAACGATAATACAATTACAACTTGGCTTCAACTGCCGATGATGAAAATATATTGAGAGGAAATCAGTATTGATCTCGTAGAAAATATTGGCGTTGTGATGAATATTTTTGGTTTTTTTTTAGTGTTTCAGACAATCTATTTAATCTAACATAGATTTGATGAAAAATGGTTTTAGTTGTCAATCCTAACGTGAAATTTTTCGATCCTTTGTATTGAATATAACATAATGATATGTGTGTTCAGTGTTATTGATTTCTATTCGTAGATGCTGCATTTATTGATTGAAAAATTTAAGTTTGGAACAAACAAAAAAATATGTTCTCTTGCTTGGAGTTTACCATAGAATGTGAGAATCACTAACGTACTGGATTCATTTTTATTTTAAAAAAGAAGTAAATGAATTTCAGAGAAAGACATTAATCAATGTGAAGATACCATGAAAATCAATCATAACCGATTATTAGATAGACCGATTCATCTAATCATTTCACAGAATACTATGACTTTTTCCTCAGTGTTTTCTTGGAAAAAAACCACAGATTCTGACGACTTCTCCATAGAAACACGATACTAACACATGCGATTTCAGAAGACTCCCTAATCAATGATTTACCTGATCAGTGAGTTACATAGTTGTAATGAAAATGAGATAGATGGGATGAAGTTCTCTTTCATTACCAACGCATTGTGTATTTTATTATAACTAACATTTTGCTTCAAGTGTTTGCTATACTATTCGATCACTCTAATTGTGTCTACTTGATATAAAACATAAGTTTATATAACGGAAAAACAACGAAGGAGAAAAGAGAGATGAGAAGAAGGGAAAGAGTGAATAGGAAACATAGCCAGCAGGCATCTAGTTGCATAGTGACCGAATACTCTCACATCATTGAACCAACTGAAGATAGGTCATAATCTTTTCAGTGGCGCATGCTTCCATTCAGATTAGACGCATTCTTGGCCATCTATACAATACAGAAAGAAAGCTAAAGGATACAAGAAAAAAAACAATGAACAAACAAACAAAGAAATTTCCAGGTAAAGATTGCCAAGGACAAACTACTGTAGATTAAATTGAAGTGGTGAAAAATATAACATTTTATTTTCTAACATACAATCCATTGTTCGTGATAGTTTTTCATCATTATTTTTATTACTTTTCGGACCATTTAATATGTTCTTTCGTAAGTGTTTTATGTAAACGATCGTACCTTAATATAGAGTGTACTATCGGGAAACTAAGCTAAAAATATTTGAATTTTTCTCAAACTTAAAAATAACGAGCGCTTTGTAGAATGATACCATACTATTCTCAACATTTCCGTTTTCCTCAATATTAATCTCATTGATGTGAGATGAAAATTCAACTAAATCATCGAAAGAACAATATAATTCATTCATCCATCAGAATCATTTCTATTATTTCCTATAGCTCGTAAACATCAAATGAAATTCATTGCACAATATAAAAAATTAGGTTTTTTGACTATTTTCATAAAATGTTTTGATGGTCTAATTTCACCATAGTTTGATCAAAAGCGTGTTTTAACTAATAACTTGAATCAATTTTTTATCAGTGAAGTTTCTGTCAATGAACTGCTGTAAACTATCTATGTTCTCTATTGTTTGGTGAGATAATCGTAGAGACGGTGATATTCAAAATGTGTCATGAAAATGTTTAGAAAAAGATTATTTTATATTATATATGTATATTCAATTTCATCGAAATTCTCATGGACAATAAACGATACAAATGATTCTAACTATTGAACCAAATACACTATTCTATATAGAGTTTTCAAGGAAGTCTTTAAGTGAAAACACAAATAGGATGATCAAATCCATTAAGAGAAAGAAATATTGAAAATATAGAAAGAGCTATGGTTTTTTCGTCATCCATCAGGTTATCGACTTCTCAAATGCTGCTCTATACATGAGAACTAACATCATTTTGTTTGACTTGAAATCTTTTGATGATTAAACGAAATAACAGAGCCACTTTCAAAATTAAGATGTCAGAATACGGGTGTAGGTATTTCTTTTTTTTTGTTTTAGGCAACCCCCCCCCCCCCCCACACCCTGCTCTTGAAAGCATGGTAAACATTATGTGAATCTTTACATTTTTCTTCTTACTGGTTATTGTCGCCAGGACAAATCCTGTATGGAGTAATCGTTTCTCCGAACGAAATGATGTTAGAAGCCGAATAATTCTCAATCAACTTGCTGAAACTTTCAATAATAAACGTACTAATTTCACGCAATCATGGAACATGTGATCATTCATATTATTATTGAATGAAGATGTGAATTCTGAAAAAACCTAAATAGATGAATAAAACCTTGAAACTTTGATGAATTCATGAATAACTTCATCCATTGATATTTTCATGTTTTCTTTTGAGTAAACGTATGTCAATAATTTGAATAATAGATTTGTGTAATTATGATTTAATTTCTTTTAATGAATATCGATTCATGACTTGTATATAGTTTTACTAATTTCTGCAATCGGTTATTGAAGAAAAAAAAAGCAATTATATTTCTAGTTAAATTATTTTACAATTAGAATAAATTTAGTAGACTTGAGTTCGTTTTTTTTAATCATGTTTTCGCATAGTATATATGAAGCAAAAGAACGAGCACATTTCTCTATTGCTCGTTCTGTTTATTATTTGTAGATAATTATGTAATTTCAAGAAGACATTGCAAAAATCAAACATAGCAGAATTATGAGCTCAACAAACTACTTCTGCACCACACTACATGTAGTTTCTTCCTAGTAAATGATACAAGGTTGTTTTATCTACCGTTACGAAACATTTATCGAGTAAAATAAGCAAGTCAGCATGGTAGATTTACCAAAAAACAAAATAACGGTTATTTTCTTGAAAATTTCATATTTAGATACTTATTTATTCAATATTAATAATAATTAGTGATGATAAGTATTAGAGTAAAAATTCTATGATTAACTGTCATTTTTACCATTATTGGTCCACATATGATGCAATTGATAGAATCTTCGAAAAATTCATCTGAATTCTTTTCTTGTATTTCCTAAAGATGAACACAAATAACATAGAAATGCCGGCTACATCCGTCACTCTATTGTTTGTTTTTTGCTTGATTTGGATCTTAATTATTTCAGTTTTAACTGTGACATGCTACTATTAATTTGTGTATTCTCGATTGAATATATTTTTTGCTATTCATTATAAATTATAACATAGATATTTATACTTGTTGACTTGTAGATATCAGCTGGATACAATCTTCGACAGCATGTAGATAAAATAACAATTGCCAAGGAAATGGACATATTTCGAGATCAACTTTTATTTCTCGCATATTTTTGGTTTGTTGATTGACATAAATGATTTTTTCATTGTCGCAATCAAGTAAAAGTTCAATTCCAAACATAGTTTGACATTTCATATCCAGACAATCTTTACTAGTTCGTGAATCAGCGTGAAGAGGGATTGTTTTGTCATCACTACGCCAACCATATGTTGATGTTTTCATGTCAGTTTCCTTGTATGGCATTGATTTTGTTTTCGATATTATACCAAAGAAGCAATAGTATGCTGTTGTTTCTTTCTTGACAAATAATCGAATTTTATGTTTACCCAATGAATATTCACATATTCCACGTACAAATGCATCACTTCTCCTTGGACCAACATGTATAACCACACAACCATTCTCTTCAATACGAACATTACCAATTGATTCTCCAAATTTTTCATTCTGTTTTATATGTGACTTTGTTTCAGAGATACGTAGTTTAGTGACAAGAATTTTTGTTCGATCTTCATAAATATCAATCAAAGGAGCAATAGTAGTAAGATCAAGTTTTAGTTTTTCTAACATAGTTGTCCATGCACAAAGATCATTTTCAACATAATCATTATCAATTCGAGCTTTTCGTAATCGTTCAGAAAGATCATATAACTCTTTCGATATCTTTCCTTAACATACACATTATTATTATTATTATTATTGGCAAACAAATCAATCATTTCTTTTCTACTTACCTGTATGTGAATCAATCAATTTTTCTACCTGTTGTCGTGTTTCTTCTGCTGTTTGTTGTATTTTTATAATTGAATCTTGTTCCCATTTGTTGATTTGCGTAAGAAGAAAATGATGATTCTTGTCTTGATTGCTGTGATCAGCAATCATTTGTTGTAGAGTATCATGTTCAAGAACAATTGAATCTAATTCATCACTAAGCATGTTTCGATGTTCATTAGCATGAGTTCGACAAAATATTTCTGAACATCCTTCACATTTGAAAATACCCACACTTTTATTGCCACACGTGACACATGGACTTTTTGTCGACATTGAAGACGCCATGAAAAAGAATTCTCTTCTATTCTAAATGATGAAAACAAAACAAGTCTCGTTCTCTATTATGTTTTGCATTCGAACGACAAAAGGTAAAGAAAAGAAAGGGAATTTTATGTTGAATGAAAGCATGTTATATTGTTATTACGACCTTTCAGCTAAACACACTTTCTTAATAACTAATTTTGTTGTGTATACTTGCCTAAGAATGATATAACGTCATAGAGATCAATTGAATTGAAATCCATCAATCAATTTGTAATAAAAAAATGCACAACAAACCTTGTTCTCTTTGAATAAGGGTCCATCGAAGAATAAATTTCAGCATTATGTTGAATCAAAAAACGAAATTATTTATCTTCTTTGGCTGATATATTTCATGTTATTGTAGTAATAGAACAAATTCTATTTTGATTTGAGACAATTTATAATAAATACTATTGCAATTGTGGGATGCAAAGGTTACTTTACTGTATTCAAACACACACCCACACCTACATCCCATTCTTTCTAGGAAAACGATGCGTACTTTTCCGCAAGATATTAGCGAGTAGAATCGCGCAAAAAATCAAAAATTTTTGTTTTGTGGGGTGTGAGTGTGTGTTTAAATGCAGTAAAATAATTCCCACATCTACATCCTTTTCTTTTTTCATTTCATATTACATATTTGTCCATTTACTTTCATTCTTAATATGATACATATACAGCAATCAAATGAACGTGTTTCATTCAAGTTAATTTATTTGGTTTTATATTTTTTCGATATAATCAATGAGTTAACTTGTTTATAAATGTACTGATACATTTCTTCTACATATACTATATTAGTTCGTTATAGTTCTGATATAGATGTATGTGTAGTTGATGTTGGTGGTTTTTTTGTCTGATGATGGTATCTGCGAATAGATACCGAAATATCACGTGTTATATTAAAACTTTAGCTGTTTTTTATTTTTTCATTTTAGGTTACATATTTGTTCATTTATTTTCATTCCAGAACATATAGTAAAATTTTCAGCCCAATTCGATAAAAATTCGGATAGGTCGTAATGTACCCAAGTGAAAACGGAGTCTTATGCATAACTCTCGCAAACTCATCGAAATCGAAAAATTCCAGAAACAACTAGAGATGTAGAGAAGACGAGTATATAGTAAAAATTCTAGGCCTCTACGACCTTGATAAGTGAGTGAACCAGAATCGTCCAAAAAGAGATATGGTCTAACTTTAAAATGAAAGCCTATTCATGAAACATAACTGTCATTCTTCTTGTTCATCGTAAGCAATCTGATTCTGTCACCATCTGTTAATGTTTTCGATGTGAAGAAGCAGTGAGAAAAACATTTTTAATGAGAGTATGTTGTTCTGTTGTTGTTCTCCTGTTTCTCAAGAAAAAGAACCGAATGGAAAGGAAAAAAGAAAGAAGAAAGCAAACATCTTATTTGCACATTGAAGCAAAGGCACACTCGTACAGAAAATACCATTTACGTTTGCTATTGCTTTTATTTTTCTTTGAAAAAAAGAAACAGAACAAGCAACAACAACAAACAGAAGGACAGTAGAAAATAAAAATATTCATTTGTGTCAGTTTTTTTTACAAAGTGAAAATCAGGAGTAAACGAAAGTGCCGATCATATAATGAACACTGCTTCTTCTTCTTTTTCTCCTCGTGCTCTAGTTCTCTTTCGCCTACGTAACTTTCAATGGTACTGAAACTCTGCTGCTGACCCGCGATCTTCTACCGCCGAAGAATGGACTAAGTTCACGAACGTCGCAAACGAGATCATCGAGGATGCACTCAACGCCAAGAAATGTCAGGTGAAGATCGACGGTAGCTACGTCATCAACTTGAACCACCGAATGTAGTACAGGTAGGACGACATACAAAGACAGTGTCTGGTCAAGAGAGTCCACCTCCACACTGGCAGAAGCAACGTGCACCACCGAGAAGGCAGATTCTCATTGCCTGTCGCTGTTGCCTGTATTTCGACTTCCACGTCAACTGAAGACACGCTCTCTGTTATTGACGAAGATTTCCGCTATACATACTGGATAGCGGAGCTAAAGGGCAAGCACAGGAGTCTAGGCTTCGTGGTTCAAGCAGCTGTCAAATGAATTGTTGCGGAAGGTACTGCGCTCGGCAAGGCAAAGGAGGTAAAATGGCTGGTTGAGCAGCTGCTGACAGTCAAGCACCATAGAGACAACGTGGAAGCGGATAGTGATCATGTAGCTATCCCAATGTAATCGACGAGACTTGTATCTATCTGTACTCGAAGGAGTGTTTCTGGTACAACGAGATGAATCGAGCGATGCGAGAACCGAACAAGATCCCTCGCAAGCAGCTATGGCACTGGAACCGTTCGCCTTCCTGCTATATCAGTATTTGGTTCACCAATCGAGAGGCACTTGTCAAACTGTTTGCCGCGGTCTCATGCTCACAGATGAACAGAGGAAAGAGTTTATGAGAAACATGAAGTTCACTTCCGTTACTTCGACGAGCAGAAGTTTATATAAGAGAGTATTCACAACTACAGCCACCCACACCCGCACCCTATGTTAGAAAAATTATCATTGAAGATTTTCTTGTTGTTTTCAGCATAAACAAAAATGAAGAATTATAATAGACAAGAATACTTCGAGATGCTGAAATTATCAGAATATTTCTTTAGAAACCGTCGACTTTTTTTTATGTCGAAATTTTAGCTGAAAAATGTTTGAGATGAAACTTTATTTTTCTGTTACTCTTGCATTGCATATCATACTGAGTCATCATGAAAAGTTCTATATATCCAATAAAATTCATCTGAATTTATGAATTCAGCAATAAATCCTAATAGCTTTTATGGTACTGCAGTAAAGAATAGACATTGAACCATAAACCCATTTTTTAGTTCCAAGTTGTAATTTATTGAACATTGAATTTATTGCTTGAGTATGGCAAATGTTCTACAAAAACAATTCCGCATGTTTCTCTTCTATTTACTATGATTTCATTAAAACCTTTCATTCATTATCGATCTTTTCAGTTTGAATAACTTAGAAAAATGAGTATCCAAATGACAATCGAGATATTCAAACAATTAATCTTTACGAATCGAAATCGATTAGTCTTGATGCTATATACCATGAAAAACTATCTACTCGATTGTTTCTTTGCCTATTGCTTATGTTCTTCATTACTATTCTTATTTATGCTTTTTTTTTCATCGCGTACAATGAATATTACGATACGGAATTCCACTAAGAATAAATTCAAAAAGTTTTTTATTTTCCATAAAGTTTGCGAAAGTAAATTTGTCTCTCAAGAATGAATCGATGAAATTTATACTACAAATGTTTCATTTCTCTCAGGGATGCACACAATCAATTCAAGCCATTTAATATAGTGAGTCTTTCAGCACAGTCTCAAAATAATTTTTAAGAAAAAAATGTTGTCGAAAAGTGGAAATCATTTTCTACCATTGCATGTTGGAAAAAATGTTCATTTTCTAGAACTCATCGTTTACCGTTGTTTTTCGAAACATTTTCCACTGAGTATTATTTGCTCTTCATCGAAAAAGTCAGCGATTGTTCTAATGCAAGAAATACATACAAAAAAGACAAAAAGAATCATAAGAACAATTTCATAAAAAGAAAATCCGTTGATAATGTATTAAAGTTTTATTTGTTAAATTGTTCGTATCGTTTGTAATTTGTTACTTTGTTTTATGTTTTAAAGAGTAAATACAATGATAAAACATCAACACAGCTTAGAAATAACGGCATCATCCCCCGTATCCTCCGTATCCTTCGTATCCTTCGTATCCTCCGTAGCCGTATCCTACCATACCTACAATGCAAACGGAAAAGTATTTGTCGATTAAAATAATACTCAAAAATCGATCGTAATCTTATTACCTGGATTACCATAGGGGGGTGCTACTGGTGCCGCAATAGCCATTGGTATAGCGCTGTTAAGTAAGAGATAAAGAACTCGTTTAAAGTTTTACTTCACAACATCACATAAATGATCTTACCAAATGCCAACAGGAGGAGGAGCTTGAGGTATAAAGATGGCACGGATTTTAGGAGGGAGTGGCTCTTGTATACATTGGCGTCGTGGACGAATAGTTGTATAAGTATAATCATCTAGACAATAAGAAACCAAAAGAGTGTAAAATATCTATATTGGTATGTGAAATATGTAGAAAATAACAAGAGTTATTCATGATTACCTATTGGATATGGCTCCATAAAAAACGTAGGAGCACAATTGGTTGGTTTGTTTCCCATGTCTCTTTGTCGTTAAATAGCTATTATGGTGCCTAGAATTAATGTAGAGAGATTTAAAGTCAGAGAACCTTGTTTTGCCGAACATAAGTAATATGCAGAACTGGATTTTAGTTTTCGAAACAGAGCAAACTTTTCTCTATCGATTGATGTATATTAAAAATAGCATGATAGCATGAGAGAAACACAAGAAAAATATTTTTAATACTTTTCTTTTCAACAAATCAATCAAATTATTTATCTGAGTTGGTTTTATTTTTTTTTCACATTATATTAACTAAATTTTAACAAGTTTTAATTAGAGTAAATGATTCGATCGATTCATGACAGTTGAATAGCGCTCAGTATTAGGAAATACCTTCTTAGTTTACTTGTAAGATGCCAAAAATGAAAAATTCAAGTAAATTTCTCTCATTTATTTGTAGATGGTTTGAGAAAGCTTGAGAAATCGGTCATAAATAGAAACTTTTTATTTCGATTGCATCACTCTTTGGTTCCAAAAAACATGTTTCAAAAACTGCAATGAATGACAAAGTATCCTTTTAACCTTGAATTTACTTTTTCTATAGATATTGCCAAATTTAAAGTTCAGTTATTTTGTGAACTTTTTGAAAATATC